TATTAGTATTGAAAATGCATATATAGTTCTACTTTGTATTCGCAGAGACAAGGTTTTGTGTGTGTTATAGGGTATTGAATGTTGTAAATTTCCATTTAATTTCATAAAGAAAATTGCACTTAATGTAAATATTTTACATTAATTCAAAGACATCATCTCCGTAATAGTCAAGGATATTATGTCCATAGTACGTCCATGCATAATGTGTTATGCTAGTCCATAATACATATTATTATTCAGAATACAACAGCATCTAGTTTAGGATGCCAATTACTGCAATACTTAATACCCCAATGTGTGCAATTTTACATTTCCTGGGTTATTTGGGAAAAAAAGGCCTAATATCTTGTATAAAAAATGATAATTCAATGCCTATTGTTACAGTACTGTATGTACAAATTGCTTCACACTGGAAATTTGGGCATTGCGCAGAAGTCTCTTGTATTAATAAATGAATTTATTCATAACACTGGACACCATGCAAAAAATTATCTTATTCCTTTGAAATAAAAAAAAAAATGTGGCTGTCAGCCGCCGGAGTGTTCCGTGCCGGAACCCGGGATTGAACCGGGGGCCTTTAGATCTTCAGTCTAACGCTCTCCCAACTGAGCTATTCCGGCTGACAAGTACTACAGTATTTACAAATTCATGCGTTACTTCTATAAAGGCTTGTGGCTAAATGGATCAATATCTTATTTGAAAGAGTTAATGGAACTACGTACTCTATACATTAATTCCTTTTTCTGTCAAGTACTGAATTTTGACAGAAAATCACCAGAGCATTTCACCTATACTCTAGCTGTATGCAAACATTGATCTAGCTAATTTAAGCCCCGAGTAGCGAACGCCATGTCCATAAGATTAACATGTGCATGGATAAAATATGGTTCAAAAGAATATGAAACAAATAATCTACTGAAGAGCAGTGTATTTTTGTGTGTGTATTTGTAATAAATATATCGTCTTCTAAAATTATCCTGCCTATTGTACAGATATTTGTGCTGTGAGTCATACAGTATACATTTGTAAATATTTAGCCAGAGGTCGATCTTCATACCTAATAGTCGTCTTAATACCTTGATAACCTCTATAATCTGACCTTGTTTTAATCTTTTTCTACTGGTTTATGTTCACACTTTGACACGAGTAAACTTACAAAGTTTATACCTGGTACAATATTTTCTAATTTAATTCTAAAGCTCCAGTGACATATTAGACATATCGATCATGACTTACAAGAATTATAAAACAATAAAGTATGAAATATAATATGTGTAAGAAATGCAGATAATTTTTTCCCACCATTAAGAAAATTTAAAAGAATGATAAACATTGAAACTTTACAAGGATGTTTAATAAAGTGCTTATCATAATACCTGCATTACATATATATTTATAAACATGTGGTTTTATTTATGTATTTTTTTTTTAATTTTGTATCATTATTATAATGCAACCCTTTCCTTCAATGAACATGAAAAAAAACATCATAAAAAATAAGTGGGTAACATAATTTATTTCTATTATGGTTGTTATGTGTTTATTAAATACCGGCCCTCACAGAATAGACATGATTGTGTATAAAAATATAAAGTCATAGAAAAAAGAATCATCAGCATTTTAATCGATCTTCTGTTGAGAAGTAAAATGTCTAATATTCAATAAAATTTGATAAATTGTTTTTGTAATATACATCTCTTGCTACCCCCCCCCCCCCCTTCCATTTCCCCTTTTGTTTTTACTGTGAAATATTAGATTACATAACACATATTCATTATACCACTTACATTTAAATTTGCATGAATAACTAATCTCTACTTCCCTTTTTTATTATCACTAAAACTACAATTTCAGTAATGAAAATGCTTCCAAATATAAACAGCAGCTATTATAGGAAAATGTATACTTCTGGTAGAAAATTCACTCCAGTGCAACACATACAAAGATGCTGTAATGGTAATAGATATTAATGGTTTTTTGCTCTCCAAGGACATTATTATAAAGTCCTAGATCTTAAGACTTTTGCACTCTAATATAGGGGAAAAAAATGAGGAAAGCTAAAACACATTTGTCTGAATCGGTCAGATGCTCTGACACAGATGTCAAATCAAGGAGAAAAGTTAGGTAAAGGTGAAAAATGAAAAAAAGGAATTTACTTAAAGGAGCGGAGTCAATACCCTACACAGGAAGATCTGATCTTTTGAAATATGCATTATCATGAAGGAAGAAGCCTAAGAGGTGACGATGACAACGCACTATGACAAATTGAATCCTTAACTATAATCATGGTCATTTGAGCATCGTTTCATCATTAGTTTACGGAGGAAAATAACCCACTGAAGAATGCTTTCCATACTTTCTCCTTTCATCTTCTCTCATCCTGTAGAGAAAGTGAACGGAAAGAATGACATTTTGGTAATCATTTTGAAACAACTCCACTGCTGTTCAAGGACACTGCATGTATCAATTGGCTTAACTTAAAAAATTTTCCCCTTCAAAACCTAAGCTTCCAGAAAAAAAAACTCTTCAGAAAATACTTTTTCCATCGAATTTTGAGTGCAAACTTTTGATGTACTGTCACTTCAATAATTTCATTTTAGAGGCAGATAATTTATCTATTTACCTATTGATATGTCAAAGAGGCACAAGACTGGACATGATAAATACCAAAATCTTCAGCTCTGTGTTAATAAAGGCCTGTACAGCTAGCTCTGTACCACACTGCTAACCTGACGATATGCTATAATGCTGGAGACATTGGGCTTACCTCTGAATAATGGTACTACGTCCCAGGCTATGGCAGGTCCCCCTCTGGCATACTGCCCCAGAATGGTTTCCATGTAAAGTAAAGGGAAGCCACAGGTCAAGGTCAGCAACAGGTATATCACGAAAAACACACCTAGAAGAAAATGAATTCTGTGAACTACATATACTTTGTTTAATGAGATATGAAATGGTTAAGTATAAAATGCTTCCTCTGCTCTGCAGATTTACTGTTCTTCTTCAGGATATTTCTTTTTTCCATCCAGTAATTATACTGCCATGCAGAACCTAATTAAAACAATTTCATCAGCAAGAATCAGAAGTCTCCAATCTCCAAGTGAACCATCACCTGAAACCACAACGGGTTGCACTTTTCTCATATAAAAGATTGTCTTATCAGTCAAGGGACAGGGTGACCAAACTCCTCTCATTTCTTTCAACATTATTTTACTTTTCCTCACTATTGATAGCTTTTAAAGTGCAGTACTTGTAGGTTATTGGACAACAATCAGTTTATAAACTTAGTCATTTTAACCTTCATGTCACTATATTTACCATTATTTCCCCAATTGTGATAATACTAGACAATCTTGTGCAAATTTTTTGGTTACTTTACCTCCCCCATGTAAAGCCGCCATCTTTGGAAACCATAAAATACTGTCCACTCCATTGACAAAGCTACAGCAAGCCAGTATGTATTCCAGCTGTCTGTCCCATGAACAGTGTTCCTCTGTGTGACCCGACAGTGCCCCCTCAGAGAGATGGAGGGGCGATGACCGGGCCGTGTTCTCTAGTCCCGGGTCATATCCATCATCCACTGAACATTCCTCCTCCTCCTGAGCCTCTAGGGCTTCTGCTGTCATCTTAAAAAAAGTAATTATCAAAGATCAGAAATTTGTTCTATTCAGTCTTTTTTTTTTTTTGATGTCCAAGACTAATTCACACTCTTACATAAGGAGAACTAATACCACTGAATCAATATTACATATATTAGCAAAATCTAACAGATCTACAGTCAAACCTCCTTATCTCGAACTCAATGGGACCAAGAAAATATCTCTAGATATCCAAGTATTCGAGATATCTAGGGTAAAATACTTAGAAGAATAAGTGGTTGGGACTTCCAAATTACTTCGACATATACACAGTATTCGAGATATCAGTGTTTGAGATACTGAAGTTCAACTGTGATTAAATTTTTGATCACACTGAGGGATATTGTAAGTTTATACTTTCTAGCATTATTCAAGGGATCTTTTCCTGGAATAGTACAAACTGAAGTGTCTTTTACAGTCTTCAAAAGCTAAATGTGATATCCACATGGATTAATGCAATGGAAATTAACTATTGAATATAAAATTGCTGTAAAGAAACTTCCAATCAATATCAATGTTGCAAAATTACCCATGCACATATGATTGTTCTCACATTTCAGTAATTTAATCACTATTTGTTTAATGACTGCAAATAATATAATAAAACTTGAAATTTATTTCTTGTATGCAATTTATACATGTATTTAGTGGATAAAAACTGCAAAATTGTTTATTAGTTCAACTTAATGCACCTAGTGGTATAATAAATTGTACATGTTCAGGTAACAGTCATTATTGAATGAAAATTACACAATAAATATTTTCCTATATTTTTCCATGGTATTTCTCACCTTGAACCCACACTAAGTAAATTTAACGCCCTCAATAATGAGAAAAAAAGATAATTAAGTTTACCTGATAATTAATATTTCTCTCATCTCTATCTTCTTTGTCACAGAGTTCATATATTTCTCCATATGTCTCATAAATTGTATATAAAGTCATTCCAAGAATTTTAAGCCAACGTAACACAATATATTGCTGATCTGAATGATGAACACTAATATTTGTTCATAATTAAAATTCTGCTTTGAACAAAATTGCCTGATATCACAAAACAGACCTGTGATCATGAAAAACAAGGCATTCAGAAATCACTGGCTTATAACCCATACATTGTAAAGGACCACATAATATGCACCTCAAAGCTTAATTGAAATCTACAGAAATAACAATAATGTTGCATATTCTGGCATCTGATCTCCCCCAAAAATCCACAGAAAGCAGCTGTATCAATGTCAAGTATGTCCACAATAATCCAATCACCACATCTGTGGAACATAATAACATAGACACCTAGTCATGCTAATCACATATCCCTGCTTTATTAAATCCCAATGCCAAGTTTCAGGTAGATCTGTCCAAACATAAAAATCAGTACGATTCAAGACAGTTTCCCCTCAAGAGACACATTGGAGTGTTTTTTTTCTCTACATCTTTCTCAAGATTATATTTTATTATTGCCCCTGTAGGTGTACTAATCCAAATGCCAAGTTTCAGGAACATTCATCTAAACTTTGCCAAACTTCCATCAGTCTTAATTTTGGGACACTTTTAATCTTATACTTGTAAGACACTTTTGTCTTAGTGAGTTCCCCCTCCTGTATCCCAAATATTTATCAATGTCTCAATAAGGGCAAGTTTATATTTCACATAAATAAGATGAAATGCTAACCTCTCCTGGGACATCTTAATTTGATGTGTGCCCCGTTTATATTGTACAGTGTGATTCAAAAGGCAAGACATCAATCTAACTTGTCTGTGTATAGATTTTCTTGTCTTGTGGAACCATGTGAACTGTGAGATTAATTGAAAATTGCAATTAGGAATCTGCCTCTTGGTTTATCACCTTTTGTTGCCTCACAAGGGAGAGGATCAACTATGACCAAAATACCTAGCCTGGTCTGCTAGGATGTCTCAAGGTCACAAGCATTAAATTGACTTGGTGAACAAATATTGATTATAGTATACAACTTAGAAGGAAAGTTTACCTTCATTGTTTTGAGTGACTGTCCAATACACTTAAATTGTGCAAGATGTGCAAGTATATCAACAAACCCCTTAAGCTCGTAGTATACCATATACCAATAGGTATAAAAAATACTTAAATTGTACAAGATGTGTAAGTATATCAACAAACCTCTTAAGCTCGTAGTATAGTACCATATACCAATTGGTATAAAAATTAAAGATAACTTGTATCATTCTATTGAAGACAAACACCAGCTAAATGTATAGACCCCTGAGCTATGGTGGACACTACAAGTAAGAGCCTTGGCTAATGTCCCTTACTCTACTCACATCCCTTGACCTGATAATCATATTTTATTGACTCAATATTTACTGCATTTCCAAACTTAAGTTACACCCAATATAAATTCTGGACCAAGGTCAGAAGTCATGAATTTCTGTTATTTTAGAAGAGAACTGAATACCAGTAAAAATAATGGCATTTTTTGCTAAAGTTCTCATTATGATGATGCAAGCTAAGTTCATCTGGAGCATGATGTGATGTATTTTCACTCCATGATCAACCCTCCTCACTCAGCTGGAGATTAAACCCATAACCTAGAGACATTTATGTCTAAGTTTGGTATAGGGTTCTGTGCTAATACATGTACATGTAATAACCATGGCATAATTTTGTCAGTAAGATGTCCATGTATGTGTGAAAAAAATTAAATGGTTTTAAAAGATATGATGCACATCCAGTATATAATCTACTTAGCCCCATTCTGAACCTGAACCTATGACCAAAGGGATGGTTGGGAAACAAACAACACAAATTTTGAATGATTGAGGGCTACATGCTCAATAAAACTAGAGGTTTTTTGAGCAAGCTCACAAAATAATACCCCAGCACAATTTTTATTAAGTGCTCATTCACAGTTGACATGACAATAAATTCACACCTTTTCTGCCAGTGACCATGCAGTTGCCACAATCACCTTGGGTCATGGCTTTGACAAACTTTTAGCTCACAAATAATCTTTGTTTGGAGTTCCAACTTCCAACAAACTTTTATACTTTTTTTTCTAACAGTGATCTTAAACTTGCCAAGAATGACTTTGGCATGCATGGGTAGGAAGTTTCAGAATAAACACAAATTTAACACTTTTTCTACCAGTGACCTTGAACTTGCCAAAATGACCTTGTGTTAGATCATGATGCACTCTCAGGCCAAAAACAATCTTTGTACCAAGTATCAACTTCCAATGTGTCTCATTTAAGAGTTATAGAATAAATACAAATTTAACACTTTTTCTACCAGTGACCTTGAACTTGCCAAAATGACCTTGTGTTAGATCATGATGCACTCTCAGGTCAAAAACAATCTTTGTACCAAGTATCAACTTCCAATATGTCTCATTTGAAAGTGAGAGTCAGGAAATGAATAAACACTTTTTTGCCAATAACCTTGAACTTGCTGGAATGACCTTGGCTCATGGTCAACTCAAAAAAAATGATCGTACAATTAGATCATATGCAATATTGATTATAATGTTTTCCATTACAAGATATAGTCTTGACAGGAATTAAACATTTTTCTGTAAGTGACCTTGAACTTGATCCAATGACCTTTTGTCAAAATCATGACACACCTTCCAAGTAATAATTAATATTTGCATGAAGAATGAACTTCCAATGTTTCTCCATAAAGAAGTAGTAGACCAGACAAAAATTTTATACTTCTTCTGCCAGTAACCTTCAACTTAGGAACATTATCTTGAGTCACGGTCATGACACACCCTCAGGTCACAAACAATCTTTGACATGTCCAAAGCATAAGTTGCCAATAATTCTTCATTACAAAGTTATTGCCTGTACAAGATTGCACTGACACATGGACAAGGTGATTCCTTTATCCCCCCTAAACTTCACTTGCTTTGGGGGGGGGGGGGGTTACAATCATGCAAACATTTTTTTTTCTTTACACATAACAAAGTAAAAGAATTCATATTTTTAAGAGATAGATACTATGATCAATTCAACCCTGTTCTGGGGCTACATGTAGAACTCAAGTTGATCTAAGAGAAATGAGGGAAAAAAGAAAACTTTGGTAGAGGGCTCTCTGCTCTTTGTATGTGTACTTGATGCTTTGTAAGCTGAAAATGCAAGATAAGAGATTCAGTTTTTTAATAAACACTTAAATTTTTTTTGGACTGACCCCACCCTTAAGGCCTTGATAGAATATCCTAGAAATCCATAATTTTTGTTCTCCACTCCTAAAGATGAGCTCTATTTATAACCAAATTTGGTTGAAATTGGAATGAGTTTGATAGAAGCTAAATATGTGTGAAAGTTTAATGATAATTCACACAAGCACAATGATTTAAAAAAAAATGATAGCATAGGTCACCTGAGTATCTCAGGTGGCATAAAAAGGCAGAATGAGATCACTTATGAAAGAATTCAATATCATATAGTATCAAATGGAGTTCACTCTCACTGGTTAACCAAGCTATAGATAAACTTGATACAGGTAGACCAAACTTGTATTTGCAGCCATTCACCGTTCATAATTATAGCATGTTCACTGACAAATGGTTATTAATTTGTATGAACGGGACCTTCAACTCAATAAAAACATAATATCAAATTCAAAACAACACTTCATATGTTCTTCAAAGGGATGTGAATGAAGACAGCTAGTTTCTATTTTTCTTCTTAATATGTTGTTTATCGATACAACATGAGACCTGTGGGCATTAATGCTCACCCAAGTTATCTGGCTTCTAATGTAGGTGATAAATAAGACAAATACTATTAGATTATTGAACTATTGGCATGCATTGCTTGTACAAATGCACAGGCTTGCAAGCTAGTGCATTTGTACAGCCAACAAGTGCCAATATTCACCAATAATATAAGTTCAATAACTCCTTTATTATATAGCAAAAACATCTCCCATTGATTCATATTAATAATGTTAACTATAAATAACTCAAATTAAGAAGAATTTTCAGTATCAGTATTTAAATTAATGTCTGTCTTGTAAGTGTTCAATGACCCTACCAAGCGTTATGATATTCTAATTGAGGTTTTATTTTATATTACCTGTTATATATCTTTTGGAAAATCACAAGAGTTAAAACAACCTCTTATATGAGTGAGCAGAGGGTTTATGAACTTTAATATAACTACTGTTTCCCCAGTGTGTTCTCTTTTAACTTACGAGTGTTGACTGCGCCACTTGTAGGGTGTGTGCAATCAAAGTCGACATATCCCAGTGAACCTAAATATTTGTCCACCTCATAATGACAACTGCTTTATAAGTTCATGATGCATGCGCACAGGAGACTTAAAAGTAATTAAGAAGTAATCTTTGAATCAAGTTTAGGTATTAAAATACCAAATATAAATCTTCAGTCACAATGCCATACCTAGGACATGATTAGGAGACAGCTGGACTAAGTAATTCCCTATATTTTTGTTTGCAAAAATATAACATCATTCATGAGGTGTGATAAAGTCTTACGTAGTTTGATCAGTCATGCAACTCTTTTTCACAAAAATAAAATGCTAAAGAAGGTAAAATTTTAGTAATAAATTGTAATCCAGGTTAACTAACATTTTTTTATCAAATGTTTTAGTCCTTTATGCAGTGGATATACATGTATATAGCTCATAGGATATTGCTTTCATAAACACAGTTGTGATGTCACAATGGTTTTTGCATGGATCTGATCAAGTCAAATATTGTGGATTTTTATCTATAAAACAGTATAAAACATGAAATAGCTATGTGTAAAACATGTGATAAAAAGAATCTCCCATGGTTTATGGTTGGATATGATTTTTTATCCAGCTCGTGTGTTTTAATCCTCTCGCAAAAGCTCGGGGATAAAAACACACAACTCATTGGATAAAAAAATCATATCCAACCATAAACCATGGGAGATCCTATATAATTATTCTATCAGAATTATTCTTTCTAACACACTTGTATGAAGATATAATTCAATTTTGTATTCATGTTTTATGATAGAAGAGATCACACTTAATTTTCCATTATAGAGAGATAAATTCCTTAGTAAAACGTCTCCTATGGAAGCACTTTCTAACTGTACTCCCCTAATCCTCCTTGCAAACCATATTTAGGACATTAACAAGTGATTCAGATGGGCTTATACAATATCAATATGAAGTAATAGATTCAATTAATGTTCAGCCAGTTCTTTTATGACTGTTATTGGGGAAAATATTACAACTTGGTAATTGCGTTTATCAACGATGTTGACACTAAAATGCATCCGATACATGATAATTTCTTAGACAGAATTCTTCAGTAATACATGAAAGTTCATTGAATATGAATTTCTTGATAAATAAAGACCAAAAGATCAAGTTGCTTAGCTCTG